GAGGGACAAATGAAGCCAAGTAGACGCCACTGGTGCTCCTGGTGCGACAGAGGGCTTCTCCCGGCCTGCAGGCTGGAAGAGGGGCCCACGTGTGTGAAGGGTCACTGAGAGCAGGAAGGGGAAGGGGCCCCTGGGGACTCCTGAAGACGAAGGAGGGAGTCCAGATCCGAGGTGTCCTGTCCAAAGCCAGGCTGTGTTTGGAAGGGTAACTTGTGAGCCACTACGGAGGGTCAGCAAAAAATCCTCAGAACCAAAGGGTCCTGTGCTTGCTGTCTGGAGCTACAAGAAAGGGGAATTCTGGGAAGACTGATCCTGGGCTTGGGGTGCAGGGGAACCCTAGGAGATAGAATGGCTGGTCACCACCACAAAGGAAGACAGACTTGGGAGCCCTGGCCTGGGCCTGACAACACAAAGTAGGGCCTCACCTTCTACCACAGCATCCACTCTACCTGCCCGCAGGCAGGAGGGGCCAGGGATGCACAGGGAAAACACTTCCTGCCCTCTGCCCACCCTCAACTCCCCAACCTTTGTCCGTGCACATAACCCTACCAGTCTGCCCTCCTCACCTCGCCGCTGGGCATCTCCATTCTGCAGACACTGGCAAAGGGAGGAAGAATGAAGGGCTCCGGGGAGGAAAGGAGGGAACTAGAATATACAGTGGGGCCTTGACTTACAAGTTTAATTCGTTCTGTGACGGAGCTCGTAACTCAAATTACTCGTATGTCAAATCTTAAAGTGAACGAGTGAGACACCTGATGCTGGGCTGATGTTGTGGCGTTCACTGTGACGTTCGCTGCGCCAACTAGCGGTGGGGTATCTGAAGCTGGCTCGTAACCCGAATTTTAGCTCGCAACTCAAAGCAAAAAATCGGCCAAGAGACGGCTCGTATCTCAAAAAACTCGTTAGTCGGGACACTCATAAGTCAAGGCCCCACTGTAGTAGAAGGGGACAGACTGCCCCTATTTTACCTGGTGCCACTCCCCCACCTTCCAGACATTGGGTGGGACAGCGGCCTGTGGGAGAAGAGCTCTCCCCCACCCTCTTCAGACGCCATGTGCCCACTCAGAGGCAAGTGGAAAAACACTGCCCAAGGACAGACGCACCCACATGATTTGGGTGGTGGAATCCTGGGACACATCTGGCAAGGACAGAAGGCAGCGCTGACCCCGTTTAGGCACAGCTCTAGGTAACAAGAGAGGAGGGCTGAGGGCAGTGTGTTCCAGGCCAGGTTCAGGATGGGAGGTGAGTAGAGCAAGAGGCCCAGGCGGGCCAGGAGACTGGGGAATAGAGGCTCCCACCCAGGAACCCAGGAGCTGGTGCAGACAGATTTTAAGGATGACTTTGGGGTCAGAGGATGAGAGTTTGGGGTGGGATCCTGCCTTTCCAGCTTTTCCTGCACACAGCCAGGAAGCCCTTTAGTTTGGCTCATGTCATGTCAGATAGTCAGGCCACCCCAGGGCTTGGGACACTGCCCAAATCAAGCTTCCTTCTAGGGCCAACTTCCTGAAACTAGAGGCCTCCAGCCCCCTGGGTTTGTGGCATGAGTTCACCCTGGAGAGGTCAAAGTCACGCGATAGGCATGGTGCATCTTCCTGAGGTCCGTTTAACTTCTGGGCTTAGTTGGTACCATGAATAAACTGGGTGGCACATATTTGTAATGCTTATATGAGGTGATGACGATAATAATAATGACCAATTCTTGTCTAAGCTCACACAGCGATAGTGGAGGCAGGATAGGAGCCCACTCAATGTGGCTCCCAAACCATCCCCAGTCAAACTTTATAGATTACCCTTATAAATTTAAAACAGTCACATGTATAAAGGGAGTTATAAATTCAACTACAACAGCTTTAAAAATGTGATTGAGGTGAAGACACAGTCCACACGAACGTGTAAGATGAGGAGCCAGGGATTTTGTGTGTCTGGCACTGGTCAGGCCAGTCCACAGACCTGAGGGGCAGGCCCTTTCTCTCCTGGCTCGGGGGAAGTTTGGGAGTTCTGTTGGGTCTTGAAGCAGGGTGGGTCTCCAATGGTCTCGTGACTCAGAACCGTGTGTGCTTTTTAATGGGTGGCCTCTGAGGTTCCCCTCCTAGAACAGCTAACATTTGTTAAGCACTTCCTCTGTGCCAGACATCTTTCTACTCATTTCTTTTTCCCAGCAATTCTCGGAGGTTCCCATTTTACTGGTACAGACGAGGAGAATAAAACACAGGCAGTGAAGGTGCACCGGTGACCAGTTAATAAATGACAGAGTCAGTATCCAAGCCCTGGGCTGTTGGTCTCCGGGGTCAGAACTACAAACCATCCTATGGCCCTCATCCCCCCAGATGATCTGAGTCTGTGGGTCTGGAGTCCAGGCCTTGAACAAGTGCCCCAGGAGGTCCCTGGCCACTTTGAGAAGCAACGCCCTATGGCAGCTGTTCTCAATCTGGCTGCACATTAGGACCACCTGAGAAGTTTCAAACACTATTAGTGCCCAGCCCTTCCCCAAAGAGAGGCTATTTGGTCCAGAGTGGGGTGCAGGCTGATGGGGTGCGGGTCAGCATTTTCTTTTAATGGGACAATGTCTTCATTTAATCAATCAATCAATCAATCAATCAATCAAATAGGCCATCAACAAAGATGTTTGACCACCTGCTCTGTTGTGCCCTGTGTTGCCCTGGGGCTGAAGATACAAAGATGGGGTGGGGGTGGGAACACTGCGTGTGCCCTCCAGGAGTGCAGGTGCCCAACCTGCCCGCTGGGCAGAGCATGTCCAAAGTGTGGAGGTGGGAGGGCGCAGACTCTTTCTCTCCTGTTCTCCCTGGGTGAGCTCCAGAAAGAGCCAGACTCCCCAGATGATGATGTTCTCTGGCTTCTCCCGCTGGGGAGCCTTGGCCCCCACCTGAGAAGATGTAGTTACCCAGGTGACAGAAGCACAGGTTGTCAAAGAGAACAGGGCCCTCCATGTCTGGAGCTCTCAAATTATAGCAAGCGGCTGACCAAAGTGCTGGGCACTCATTCAATGTGAAGACACCGGAAGCCCAGCCCAAAAGTTCTGATTCCTAGGTCTCGGGTGGGTCTAAGAAATACGTGTTTTTAATAAGCTCCCAGATGGCTCTGATGCACGCTCTCAGGGTCCTGCACTCCCCAGGAAGGTTCAACAACACTAGTGCCCAGGCCCATCCCTAGAGAGCCCGGGCAATGTTCCTAAAAGCTCCTGGGCAAGGTGTCTGACCCCCCACACCCACCCCCCGCCCCGGCCTTGTTTAGGATTTGGGCAGGTAGCCACAGCGGCAGTCGTATCCTGCTACCATTAGGGCTTTGAAACAAGAGGAGATGAAAACAAGAGGCGGGAAAGATGAAAATAAAAATGCCAATGAGAAGGTGTAGAAAGAGAGAAGCAAGAGAGAAGGCTGGACAAGAAGCTCCTATTGAATTCACTCATCACCCCGGAGCCTTACATCTCTCTCTTTTTGTTTTTTTAACAACATTTATTTCTTATTATAATAGTTATTAACTGATGTAAAAAACTAACAATATGAGTATATGAAAACAAAAAATGATCTATAATATTACTTATATTAATCACAAAAGGCCTTAGTATGGCATATATAATCTATACCAGTGGTTCCCAAACTTATTTGGCCTACCGCCCCCTTTCCAGAAAAAATATTATTCAGCGCCCCCTGGAAATTAATTTTTTTAAAATTTTAATAGCAATTAAACAGAAAGATATATGTATTAATGTTTCTACCTTTTTCGTAAAATATAGTAAAGAAAGGTGTAAATTAGAAACATTGAAGTTTGAAATTATGAAACTATTTATTGAAGTCAGAATAGAAAGGTAATACAAAAAAAGTTAAAACAAATGCATCTGTGGCCATCACCGCCCCCCTGGATCGCTGCAGCGCCCACCAGGGGGTGGTAGCACCCACTTTGGGAATCACTGATCTATACTAATAAAAGGGTAATATGCTAATTAGACCAGATATCTTCCAGACAAAGCCATGATGGTGGTGGTGGAGGCTGAGGCAGAGGCAGTTAAGGGCAATCAGGCTGGCATGGGAGAGCAGTTAGGGGTGATCAGGCAGGCAGGCAGGTGAGCGGTTAGGAGCCAGCAGTCCCAGATTTCGAGAGGGATGTCCCGGATTGGAGAGGTGCAAGCTGGGCTGAGGGACCCCCTCCTCGTGCACAAATTTCATGCACTGGGCCTCTAGTGTATAATATAATATATCTTATAACTCTATTATATATTAAACAAGAGGCCCGGTGCACGGATTCGTGCACTGGTGGGGTCCCTCAGCCTGGCCTGCAGGGATCAGGCCAAAACCAAAACTGGCTCTCTGACATCCCCCAAGGGGTCCCGGATTGCGAGAGGGTGCAGGCCAGGCCGAGGGATCCCACTGGTGCATGATTGGGGCTGGGGAGAAACCCCAGGAGGGCACCAGGGCGTGTCTGGCCCATCTTGCCCAGTCCCAATTGGCCGGACCCCAGCAGCAAGCTAACCTACTGATTGGAGCGTCTGCCCCCTGGTGGTCAGTGCATGTCATAGTGACTGGTCAAACGGTCCAACGAATGGTTGGACACTTAGCATATTAGACTTTTATTATATAGGATATGGTCATTAATATAATTAACATAATTAATATAATATCCTAATTAAAATAAGTTAAGTAAAATTATCATTATAAGATATGTAATATAATATGTGATTAATATAATATTTAATAAAATATATAAACTTGACATGTAAAATTATTATTCTTTTTTACTTTTCTGTTTTGCTTTTATTTGGCTTTTCAAAAAGATTTTATTTTTCAGGTAATTAAAAATCAAAGTCTACATTTTGGGGTCAGATTTGGGAGGGCACGGGAGTGGAGTAGAGATGGCATGTCACCCTCCTCATACATACGTTCATACATTCCTACACATGTGCACACTTACATACATGCACACACTTCTATTCCACTCTGTGTCCTAGACATCATTCACTCAAACATGCCCTTCATATCACATCCCCAAAGTTAGTCTCAGGGTTTTATTAATTGATATTACTAAATTAATACTTATTAATATAGGATTTATTATCTTATATTAAGTATAAAGTAAGTTTCTTTCCTCTTTCCCATTTCTCTGAATTCTAATGAAAACTGGCATCAGGGGAGTGAGGACAGTGGCCGCATTGGGGTGAATCACCTTCAGGGACTCGTCAATGCCTGGCCACCTCCCACTCCCCCCAGACCCCCCAGCCTGCCTGCAGTCCCTTCCACCCCTCCCTGGCCTTCCCCTCCTTCCCTGTGCCCCGGTGCCTCAGTCGCTCTTCTCCTCCTCGGGCTGAGGCTGGTGATCTGGACAAAGACTGTCCCTCCACAGGCGGTAGGTGATGGAAGCGGAGACAGTGAGCCAGGCCAGGTAGGGCAGCAGGAGCAGGGCGGCCAGCTTGTTGATGGGGTGCCAGATCAGCGCCGTGGTCACCACCAGCCCGTAGAGCAGCAGCAGGTGCAGCAGGGCCTGGCAGGGGGCAGGGTGGTCAGGCAGGCTGGCCTGAGACCCGGGGGCCCGACCTTTCTGCCGCACCCTGGAGCCCCTGAGCCAAGTTCCTGGGCTTTGTGCACTCCACTGGAGCTCGCAGTCTGCCCACCTGACCTGCCTGCCCCTGACTGACCTGCTCCTGCATTACGCCCACTGCTGAGCTCTGTGCACCTTACCAGACCAGGGGTGTGGGCTGCGAAAAAGAGAGTCAGGACGGTCCAGCTGATGGCGAGCTGCACAGCATAGAGGCCGAGAGGCAGGGCCAGGTGCCGCCCGAAGCCCCCTCCCAGGTCCTTCCACACCAGGTAGGAGGCATAGCTGTGAAGAGATGGTGGCAGGAACGCTCACAGGGAGGATGTTCCATGGCAAATGGAGGAAGCCCTCTTCCATAAGGGCTCCTGGTTACAAAGAGAGACCCCTTGTGGGCTGAAATGAGGGTGGGTATGTGTAGGCATCCTTTGATGGCTGGGAGGTGACGGTGGGGGCAGTGGGCATGGTGAGGTGGGTGAGGCTGGGGAGTCTTGGAGAGGACAGGCTGGAATCCTAGGCAGGCAGAGAGGGACCACATAAGAGGCAGGCGGGGACACCATCCCTTTGGAGGTCAGTGTGCAGCAGTAGTTCAGGTGCAGGGGCTTGTTCCCACCCCAGTGGGTACCAAGCCCGGGGCAAGAGAAACGGGTGCTCACCCCATGACACAGTAGATGGCGGTCCACACAAGCAACAAGATTTTGTGGGGTGGGCACCAGGGCAGCTTCCTCAGGTTGTCACACCAACCAGACATCCTATGAGGGGCGAGGAGCCAGACCAGGATGGGCCCCAGGAGGGGCAGGGCCACAAAGATGGCCCCTTGAGGCCACATTCTCCTTCAGGAGGCAAAATCTAGGGGGCAGGAGGGGGTGCAGAGAACATGCTAACGGTGAGCCTTCCCCTTAGTCCTTTCCTTGTGTCCCTCGTCTGCTTCCTCCTCCGTCTGACACCATTCCCTGGCCTGAGCACCACCCCCCGCCCCCCATAGGAGGTCTAGGCATGGAGGCTATGGCCCCTGCTTGGATACCTCCCATCCTTCTCCTGTGAGCTCTTACTGCCCAGACCCTTTTCTGGTTTCCATGGACTTGCTTTTCCCACCCCTCTCCTCTGGCACGGGGGATACTGTCCGGTATTGATAATGGCTTCTGAGTTAAAGGCTCCTCTCCTGCAACGTGGATCTGAATCCTGGAGCTCAGGCCCACGCGTGACCATCTTCTGTACCTCCCACGGCAGGCGGCCATTGGCCAGGCCCTCGACGGGGACAGTGTCTTAGACTGAACTCAACAAGCTGACATAACCGACCGAAAGGACCACGTTTGGAAGGCGGGAGCCTGAGATCCCTGAGGGTCTTTCCTAGTCAACAATGGGCCAGCCCATCTGCCGGGCTTATCTTCCTGGGCCAGACGGGCACATGCAGGGCCCGCCCAGCCTGAGCTCCCGCCTGAATGCAACTCAGCAGAGTGTCGCTGGGGGATCTTTTCTCTGAAGCCTCAGGTCTCACCTCCCCCTCAGGGGCTGGGGGAGGGTCTCCCTACATCTATTCTCTTCCAGAGGTTCGGTGCCACAAACACACACGCCCCGATTTCTGTGGCCTGACCTCCCAAGGAAACAGCCCCCTGATCGTGTATTAAGCTGCATGCTCATTTGCCTGTTGCTGTGAGGCCATTCCCACATGGGACGATGAACAGACCCTCCCCCAACCAAGGCCCCACCCCATCATTCTTCTCATTTGCACTTGAG